AGGAAGCAAGATGTGAAGGCAGAATTGAGAAAAGCCAAGCTATGTGGCTAAACATAAATAAGAATCATGGGTTAATTTAAGTGTAAGAGCTAGTCCATAGTTAGCCTGATCTAATGGCCAAGCAGTTTTAATTAATATAAGTCTCTGTGTGTTTACTTGGGTCCAAGTGGCCACAAGGCTGTGAGAGCTGGGCAGGACCAGGAAAACTTCAGCTACACAGCACCCTGCAGGATTCCATCACTACCTATAACCTCCTTTTAATTCACTAAGCCTCAGCCTCATTTGGAACTTCCCTTTTATGGAAAGAGCTATGCTTGGTCTTGTCTCAGTGCCTTCACACATACCTTGTCCTTTGTGTGATGAGTTCATGAACAGATCTTCGTCTCCTTGAATCTTAATAATCCTTAACATTAGCTTAAAAGACATTTTCTTGAGGCAAAAGAGATGGCTCAGTAGTTAAGAGCACTTGCTGCTCCTTCAGAGGGTAGATTTCGGTCCCAGCACTCAAGCTCAGTAGCTCAAAATCTCCTGTAATTCCAACTCCAGGGTGTCTGATGCCATCTTCTGGCCTCCTATACACAGGTACCCATACATGTGTGCACACACATGCTTGTACACACACACACACACACACACACACACACACACACACACACATACACACACGCACAATCTTTAAAGGAAAGACACTCTTGAAGGAAGTGTAACTAGACTTCCTGGATGGATTAGATCCCTGTGGAATGATCCCCAGTATAACACATGTTGCTGTAATTAAATATTTACTTTTTTCTTTTTCTATTGCTGAGGTTCAGACCCAGGGCATTATACTTGCTAAGCAAGCACTCTACCATTGAATTAAATCCCCATCCCTTTGCTTATTTCTTCATAGAATATTGTATTCTTGGCTCTGAACATGGAAATTTTGTCTACTTTATCCACCATGGATATCCTCTTTCTGTACATATAAACACAAAAACCCAATAGGCATTAGTGGACCAAAGAATGAACAAATGCATAAATAAGAATTTTTTGTGGTTTATCCAAGCATGCAAAACTATTGTATATGGCTATACAACACAGATAGCAACATGGAAAAGAGCAATCTTTAATTGCTTTTCTTCCCTTGTATATGTTTCTGCAGTGCTTTATGTATATAGGGAGAGGGAAGAGGAAAAAGGAAGAGAAGTGGGGTTGAGGGGGAGCAGCAGCACGGGAACATGAACCAGGAGCTAGAAACAAATACAGTCTTCAAATGCCAGCTTGGTGTAGTTGCTTATGTTTGTCATCTCAACATGTGGAGGCTAAGGCAAGAAGATTGCTGTGAGTTCAAGGCCAGCCTGGGCTCTGTAATGAGATCCAGGGATATCTGGGATACAGTATGTGATCCTGTTTCTAAAAAGACAAAAACCTAAGCAGAGCAACTCCTCACCTCCTCCAGTGCTATCAGAACAAAGGTGCACACTGGTGATGGAGCTCTTCATAGTCATACCTCCTATGGTTTCTAGCACAGTGTGTGACCTTTGGGGACACCAGACTCAAACTATAGCATATATTTACCTGACCATTCAACTACTCAATAAGCCTTTATTGACCATTGGCCATGTGCCAGGCGTTGGCTATAGAGATACAACTCCCTCTAAAAAGGAATATAGTCAAGTGAATACTCTCTCCATCTATCTCCCTCCAAGTATAGGGATAAATGGTATCTTACCTTAAACATAAGACACATTTGTGTTTACAACTGTCTGACAAATGACTAGGACAGAATTTTTATAAGAAAACTATGTAGGCCACTTATAGTTTCCTAACCAATTTATTATTATTAGTTGAGGAAAAGACTATTTCAAGAGGTTTTCTTTTTGGGGGTTGGAGAGACAGTGAGAAGCTCATACTTATAAAGAATTTCTTTTTGGTCAGAACCCTTACACGTCAACATTTCATTTAAATTTCACATACTGTATTCACAACTAGTCTGTTAACTTTTCAAATAATTTTAGAAATCACAGTGACACATAATAAATAGGCATTTTACAGATTTTTTTTCTCCTAGGTATTCTTTGGTATAGGTGCTATCAAATAATGAAAATATTGACTGAAACACAAGATAAGAAGCAATGAATTCCTTCCCTGAGACATGGTTTGAAGAAATTCCTCCTTTAGTACAAAGACAGGCTTACAAATAGCATATAGAATTAACTGTACACACAAGTGGGCATGGACAAGATGTTCCAGGATGTTTATAGAAAGAGCTATTTGACTTATATTGTTTAAGAACTTAATTATCTTTCCTGAAGACTGTTCCTAAAAATACTGAAATTTTCCTTCTATAATCATTTGCCTTTCACACCACGGGCTAAATTTTACATCATTTAAACTTGGATCAGCAGCATGGGGCTGAATATGCCCCATATATTTTTTCCTAAGAGTCTTTTACTAAATGAATGTTTTAAGATTCTTCTGTTAGCCAGAACCATGATTTCAATAAAGTCCAATGAAAATCTAATTATGCTTTCTAGTTCGAAGTTGCTTATAATTTTCAATGTTTAGTTTGTAGTTTCAAGTTTACTCTCATAACCCAAAGAGCTGGAAGGGGCCTTGTGGGGTGCTCAGCTAGTCTACTGCCTTAGACTTGTGCAGTGATTATATTGTGTACCCTAATAAATCTGTCTGGGCATTGCAGGCAGAGCCAGCCACTAGATTAGACACAGAGGCCAGTGATGGCACACACCCTTAATCCTATCACTCAGGAGACAGAAATCTATCTGGATCTCTGTGAGTTCAAGGCCACACTGGGAACAGAACCAGGCATGGTGGCACACATTTTTAATCCCAACACTTGAGATCTGATGCCTTTGCTTGGGAGGCACACACACCTTTAATCACAGGAAGTAAGATGGCAGGGCAGAGAAAGGTATATAAGGCATGAGGAAACAGGAACTCACTGTCTTGAGACTGAGGATTTCGTAGAGGTAAGAACGTGGCTGGATTGTTCTGTTTTTCTGATCTTTCACACAATATCTGGCTCCAGGTTTATTTATTTACTTTTATTAATAAGACCTTTTAAAATTCATGCTACAGACTTGCATAATCCTGACTTAATAAATTGGCCCTCTTGTTTGGACCTTGCAGTCACAGGGTCACAGTCTTGGTGAGCAATGCTTAGTTTTCCTTACAGTGGATATGTTGTTCTTGGGAGTTTAACCCACTGTGTTTCCCTTCTTGTTCCTTAAACCCAGTAATACCTTTTCAGTTTTTTACCTGAATTTACTTTATTGGTTACTATTCTTTACCAGCTTGAAAACAATCAGATCTGTCATTCTTCCATGCAGGAATAGAAAAGAGGTAAGCAATAAAAATCCCCAACTTCTTTAGTCTTCTCTTGTAGAACTTATTTTCTTACTTCCAGTATTCTTTTCATCTCTCCCTGATTTCACTGCTAAAGAGACTCTGAAGATGGTCAAAGCCAAGACAAACAGATTTCTTTATATTTATTTGGAAAATCTCTATTGAACATGCATTTCATTTTTAGTCTGTGTTCTGAAATAAAGAGACAACACTGAATGGGAGAAAGTCTTTGCTCTAAAGGAGCTGACTGACATGGTTGGGATGCAGAATTGAAAGCATACAATACCTAGAGGAGCAAGTATGAGATTACATAGATAGGAAGCCTATCTACCCATCTACCCATCCCTGGGAATGAGCCTGTCTTTGTTTCATTTCTACTACTGTGATGAAATATTCTAACAAAAGCAACTTGGGAAAGAGGCAGTTTGTTTTAGCTCATAGTTCCAGGTTATAGCCATCACTGTGGGAGAGTCAGAACAGCAGGAGTTTGAAACAGCTGGTTACACTGCATCTATAACCATATGGCAGAGAACAAATTAATGTATGTGTGCTTGTGTTCAGTTCACTTTTACTATGCTTATAGAGTTCAGGACCCACTGCCTAAGTAATGGTGGCACCCACAGTGGATGGGTCTTCCACCTCCATTAAACTAGTCAAGACAATCCTCCAAAGACCTGTCCAGGCCAACCAGATCTAGACAATCCCTATAGCCATACTCTTCACAGATGATTCTAGATTGTGTCAAGCTGGCAACTAAAATTAACTATCACCAGACCCTTTCAGGCAGCAAAGCTCCACATGGAGAAGGGCTGCAGAGCTGCAAATGACCACTGTCGTAGCACACACAAAGTGGGCTCATTGCTCTTCCGGACCCGCCTTATCTACCACTGTCATAGCACACACAAAGTGGGCTCATTACTCTTCCGGACCCGCCTTATCTACCACTGTCATAGCACACACAAAGCTGGCTCATTACTCTTCCAGGCCCACCTTATCTAGAAGTATCCTTGGGACTTTTCAACCAAGTACCTCAGCCAGACACACAGAAGATAGTCTCTTAGTTTCGTTTCATGATGTCAGATGTCTTTGGAAGTATTTCCTCATGGCACAACACTTGCGACCCTCTCTACTACCCCACAAGGGACCTTAAAAGAGCAAGCTCTGATCTCACTGGGTGAGCTATAGCCTTTTACTTCAGACTCTGTTGCGCTGTCTCCAATAAATCCATTCCTTGAATATTCCTCCTTCCCCCCTTTACAGTTGACTGAAGACTCCATTGCAATTAATTAGAGAGTAGGGGATGGTGTCCATCTTGAAAATTTTATTCTTATTCATTTGTTTCCTGATGCTCATGACACAACCACAGACTGGTAAGTTATGAAGTAATTTATTTTGGCTCACAGTTCAAGTTAAAGGCACGGAACAATATGTGGGACTGTTCTTGCTGGCAGAGTTCAAAGATGTGCATGGCACCTTGTAGTGCAAAGTCTAATTGGTCTTAATAAAAACCCAGAGTCTGATATTGGGGTAAATGCTGAAAAATCAGAGAAATAAAGGAGCCAGCCACTAGAGAAACACCTTACCTCTAGGAATTCTCAGACTGAAAAGGGGTGAACTCCTGTCTCCTCTCACCTTATTTTTCTCTCTCCACCCAGACATATCACTTCCTGTCTCCAACTCCTAAGTACTGAGATCAAAGGCATGAGATCCCAAGTGCTGGGATTAAAGGTATGTACTACCACTTTCTGGCCTCTGTGGTTAACTAGTGGCTAACCCCACACTCTGATCTCCAGGCAAGCTTTATTTGTTAGAGCACAAACAAAATATCACCACAAAATCTCATAGCAAGAATCAAGGATGTGCATGTATATGTGTCTGGCTTTCCTTTCTTGACTAATAAAGCTACTAGGGCTCAGTCATTAGGCTTCGCTCTAATAACTGTTTCTAGTCTCAAAGGCCTCATTTGAATACCAGTCAGATTAAAGTTCCTGTAGTTTAATACCTCACTATGGGATTAAATTTCAACATTTGAAGCTTTGGGGACATAGAAGCTATATCCAAACCATGGTAAAGGCATAGGAAACAGTCTCTGTAAGAGTAGTGTGTGTTTGGAGAAGATGTACTTTCTTCATTTTCTGAGCTTAGGACTTGGTAGGACCCATTGGGCCAGCTTTCTTCATTTTTGTTCCAAGTTTCTGTATACATATACATTCCTACTTTCTTAATTGACTGTTTACAGAGAGTTTTTTAAAATAATAATAATAATAATAATAATAATAATAATAATGGTGAATTTGTGGATTTTTCTTGTACTTCTGCCAATTTTACTACATATATATGAAAATTGTTATATTTTCTTTTCAAATTCCAAGTTTAATTTTATCATAACACTTGCTTAATTTCTTTTGCCTGCATGTTTTCCTGGAGTTTTAATAGAGCAACTCCACTTCTTTGCTCAGTACTTGTCAGGAATGTTTTTTCATACTTTAGGCTTCCAGGTCTTTTGTTTTCTAATAAAAATAATATGGATATCTTAGAAGAAAAATTCAACCAGACTTAAACTATGTATGACATGACAGTATTAGTTTGTTGAGGGATTGATTTGTGTCTACAGTGCTCAGAAACATCTTTTGATTAGTTCATCATTTTTATGTGCTCTCTACTCATTTTTTGTTTCTATTTAACTCTTTTCTTGATATTGTTTTTAACTTTAATATTTTTTTTCTTGCCCATCAGATGTTTTAAAGCTTGAGCTGGCAAGATGAACCAGTAAGACAACCCAAGACTGACTCTCAGAGCCCACTGTAGAAGAGAACAAACTCCACAATGTTGACCTCTCACCTCCACATGTGTACTGTGGGATACACAGCCCCTACCCCCAGATAAGAAATAAAAACAAACTAATAAATAAAAAACAATTTTTAAAGCTTTTTGGTTATGTTTACTTTTTATGGAAATGTAATTCAAGTTTTGAAATCATAGTTGCTATCCTTCATTGTCATCATTGTGCATTTCAAAACTTCCGGAAAAGTTTTAGGTTTTATCTCTTATGTATTTACTTCACATCAGTTTCCATTCTAGTTGCTCATGTGCTGTCCTAATCTCTCTATTTTTCACAGGGTTCTTTTTATAAAATAGATTCAGAATAATTCTTTGGATTTATCCTTCATTTAGTAATTTTCTCCATACATTTTTATTTTTTTCTTCCAGTTACCTTGGCATGTCAATTACTCTGTCAGTTATCTACTAGAGGCTTTCCAGGAAACACATCAGGAAATTCAGATAAAATGGTAAGAATAAATCCACAGGAGATTGATGCTGTGGTTATGAATTCTCAGGAGAGACTGTGGTCTCACTGCAAATCTGGACCCTAGCCATCATCATGTGTGGCCACGCTGAATGCAGGCAAGTCTCATTGTGGGTCTCTGGTTCTACTACTGCTTTACTTTTCTATGGCTAGTAAAGAACTCTATGAAGTTTTATACTTTGAACAATCACTGAGCATTTATCACCCGTCTGTCTCTGCCTGTTGTGCAGTTCATTAGAGGAAGCTCAGGTGTCCTGGACTGGGCAGAGGCAATATGTTAGAGTAGGAAAAAAAAAAAAAAAACTCTCTGGTCAAGAGAATAGGATCTCTGGCCTGGGTGGGGACCTAACATCCAGCTGGACAATGTCAACTTCCTGGCCAAGAGACCACCCCTCAGAAGGCAGCTTTACCTTAAGCATGCTAAAGAGATTTTAGGATTCCTTTCTCTTTCTCTAGGGCTTTCCTCCCTGCATGTGGCTACTTCTCTGCTATATGTCTACCTCCTTGCCATCTTAAATGGTAGCTCTTTTTCAGTCTCTCCTCCATTCTCCCCTGGGAAGCTGCCAGGTTTTACAGCTTGCCTGCCCTAGGAGGGTTTCTGTTAAATTCTAGTGAAATTACCCTTGAGCTTTTGTTTGAGTTCATTCTTAAATACTTTAAATAATGAAAATAGGAGCCCCAAGAGATAATCCCTATCTCTCCTGTGCCAAATACACCTTCAGCACTTGGCCTACTTACCGTATTCTGGTAGAGCCAAGCACAGGTTCCACATATCCAGTTCTTGCTTCACTTGTTTTTAACACTCAGCAATGCCTTAAAAAGTAGAGTCACACATGATTTGTTTTTCATCCTAGTGTTTGACTGCAGGACAATTCTGGCTATCTGGTGCTGTTAGAAAAGTTTGGAACTGATGTCCCAGTCTTAATAGTCTACTTCCTGTGTAAGTCATTACTCTTTACTGATTTGTGTTCCCTTGGTGGGTGGCTCTGTTGCAAACTGATGTCATCACACCCTCCCTGCAGTGAGTCAGCTAGTCAGAGGTTAAAGAGAGAATTATCTTCCTTCTGCTTGCAACTTAGCTTTTAAAAGAAATAATTTCATCTCTTGACTAAAACAACAAAAAAATCTATTTATATATTTTACAAGCAGAGCTGTTAGCTGTGGTAGGATTCTATTTCTTTTTTTTTTTTAAACAAGCTGTTTAAAATTTTATTTATGCTTATGTTTATACCATGGTATTATGTCAATTTCAATATTTGATTTCTATTTCTGTTTATAGTTTTTATTTTTAGAACATTGTAAACATTTGTCTGGGGAGTTTATCAGCTCTCCCTTTTCTTACAAGCTGATTCTCAAGATTCTAGCTTGTCACTCAGGCCACCAAGTCAGCACAAGTATTTAACAAGGGGTGGCAACTTATAATGCTTCACAGTGTCACAGCTTTGCCTCCAACAGATTTTCTGTTTATTAGGTTAATTATTATCCTCTGTTTTAGTGCTGACTTTTGTCAAATTTGATTGAGTTAACTTCTCTTAGGCAAAAATTAGCAACTCGGTTTGCCTGGAGTATGGGTCACACTTAAGAGGTTTTGTTTGGATGGTAACAAAAGTGGAGTTGCTCTATTAAAACTCCAGAAAGACATGCAGGCAAAAGAAATTAAGCAAATGTTCCTACAAAATTAAACTTGGAATTTGAAAAGAAGAAGATACCTACTACCAGGTGTGTATCCATGGAACAGAACTTCAGAGAGCAGATGATGGCCCTGCAGGGCCCCTTGCTCCTGACGGTAGATATCAGATTACAGGAAAGGATCCTGAGTCTCCTTTGAAGTAAACAACAATAGGGAGTTGCTGTTTGTGTCCTAGTCAAAGGAAAAGATTCTGCAGCTCCAGAAAAGCCTCACACTTCTGAATAAATTACTAGTGTTTATTATGGTTGATCTGGGGTTTCTGACATTGCCACAGGCTTTTTGGAAGCAAGATACAAAGCTGGGTACTGTAGTCTGCCTTCTACTTCTCACCACTAGAAACTTCCAGTTCCCACTACACAGAACTTGACATTTGTCAAACAGCCAGCCTGACTATGCCAGAGCCTTGATTTTATATTTGTGTGCATTATTATTTGTTTCCCTGTGTAAAACAATTGCCTTTGAGATTGAAACATTCCATCTTATAGGGAAGCTCCATAAGCAGGAAAATAAACAACTCAAATAGCTTCAGGAAGTTCCTGAAACTGACCAGATTCATTAGGCCCCTCTCTGCCAGAGTAAACAATAAAAGCTGAGTGTCTCTCTCAGTGAAGTGATGCTGAGCTGCAAAGAAAACTCAGACAACTCAAGCTTCAAAGTTAATTTTGAGATAAGACCAACTGCTTAGAAGCAGCAAAAACCAGCAGAACATCCTAGAAGAGGTTGAGATCAAAGTAACTTGGAAAGGACTCTGCAACCTATTGAGCTCCCTTTAGGCTGTGCAGCATGCTCCAGATTTCCCAGTGTTTGTGAACTGTTACACATGCAGGGAATAGCTTTGATGATGCAGCTTTTTCTGAATCATTTCCAATCCTCCCATATTGCTCTGAAGTAACCCCAGTAAAACTTATTGGTTCACCAAGTTATACTTGGGTGGTATTTGTACTTTGGTCTATTGTGGGCTCCCTATCTGGAGTGAGTAGATATGTGTGTTGTGTCTTTCCAGGAAGTTTTGTCACACATTACCTAGCTATCATGAATTGTCTAGGGCTGGGCACTGGAAGATAGCTTTGCTGCTGCCATAGGAAAATCCTGCTATGGCACAGCATGCCATTAGCCTGCAAAATCTCACAGCTAACCTGACTTCTTTTCTAGTCAGAAAGAAATTGAACAAAATAAATAGAAACAAACAAGCAACAATAAACCAGAACCACGAAAGGGCATGCTAGCCTCCCTCCTGTCTTCAGTTGTAGCTCCTTTAGCTATATCTTTCTTGGTGTTTATTCTCTCCTTTGATCTGTAGGCACTATTTTCAGATTAGCCCATGTTCATATTGTCACACATTAAGTTTGTTTTGTAAAACAACAAGCCCACAGGTAACTTGCCGTTCCTTAGGGATTAAATATGGTTTATTTTATAACCAGCATAGCCACTGTGTGCGCTTCATCCATAAGTCACCATATTATTAATTTTTGTGCGTAGGCACTCTCTTCAACTGTCACATATTTGTTCTCTCAAATATCACTGTGCTTTGTACCAACTATGTAAAGTAAACCTTTGTTCTGAAAAAAGCCACCCATTGAGTAGGAGTGTGAATTCAATGTTAAGGGCACCGTGGCATCCTACAATTATTCAGCTCAGTAAGCTCTGTGTGACATCACACTTTTGTTAAGTATATTGAGGAAGGGGGGTAGGCAACACTTGCTTCTAAGTACTGAATGAACCTTTGTTTCCTTCTGTCTAAATTCTCCCTTTCCCCCAACGAAGGCAAAAGAGCATTTCCCAGCATGCTGAACTTATGTTACATAAAAGTGAGTCTGTTGAGCTCATTTTTGGTTTTTCCAAAAAGCTTCTTTCTTGGAGGTTTTCCTCTGCTTCATTTGCTTTTTCTAGACTGTACCCCTGTCAATAACATTGTGTCTCTCTCCTCAAAATTTATGACCTTCTCACTGGAAAAATGCATCTTTCTGTCTCAGTCCCCAGAGTCTCACCTTTCAGCATGAGTGCCAGAGTCAGAAGTTCATCTCAACGTCTAAATCAGACAGGGGTGAGGTTTGAGGTATATTTTATCTTGACCCAAAAGTGACTCTGTGGTTCTGAATGTGTGAAACCAGAAGTTATATGCTTCCAGAACATAGCAGAAGGACAAGCATAGATAGATAAAAAGAAAAGAGAAGAATTGGTCACAAGCAAGTCTGAAATGTTACATGAAATCCTATGGTCATAGAATATTTCTCCTTGGTTAGGTTCCTGATTTATGGACTGACCAAAGCAGCATCCACTGGATGAAACAGGAGTTCCTTTTCACTGGATAGGACAGGGCTATGACAGATCAGGAGCTAGTCACATGTGACCATTCCCTGACTGGATTGCCTGCCTGGCTGAGCAGAGCAACAACACACAAAGCATGTGGCCTCCTTGCCAGCTTGGCCTGTGATGTGACTAAAAAAAAAAATGACCGTCCTAGTAAAGACAACCCTGGTCTCCATCCAGTTTCTGCCATAAACAGGTGGGCAGGGCAGCATAGAAATATTCCTCCCAGAAGCTCCTCCACTCTCCAGAAGTGAGTTCTTTCTCACTTCCCTTAATTAATCTGTTATTCTGCTTTCCTCCTGGTCCGTTTCCATTTTCTTCTTGAATATGAGACACTGAATTCAAAAGCCATTGTTTTGGGGTAACACCCGAGCTCCTAAAGTTAACTCATTAAGGGTTGAGGAAGGCTCTTCTCAAAGGACCCTCATCACAGGAAATGAACTGTACCCTGTACCTCTCCTGGGTAGGGAGGCCAGTTATTGGTAACCCCAACCTCATGGATCTGTAGGGTAGGTGCATCTCATCTCAAAGATCTGTCTAGAGGCTGCTTACTCTGTGAAACCTGTCTGGTGGCCCTGGTGATCTCTGAATCAATTGAGGTTTGTTACCCTTACCTTTTTTT